TCAGTGTTTTAATATGGGATTTGAATCAGTTTATATACAAATAACAAAATAACAAGATTAGGATTTTTTCCCCCTGGATCTTTATTAATCGACGCAAATGTTTGACTATGATTTTTTTCCTTATATATGTATATTTTAATCTTGTATTCTTGGCAAATTACTCCAAAAGGGGGGATTCCTCACTTCACTGTTGACCGACAAGTCTGAAAAAATCTAAAAACTTAAGTCTCAGAGCTGAAAATGTCATGAAATGTTGGGTCTGGAGGGAAGACCACTGTTACAAGCTGACTTTTAAGAATCTTAAATAGAATATTACATTTAAATGAATATTTAAATGTAAGGGGACGAGTTTAGAGCTAATGTGACAGGAAAGATTAGTTTGTCCTGAGCTAGAAATCTTTTCTAGAAATGTCCTGCTGCTGTTGAAGGTTCCCCATCCACCCCTGGGGATGAGGCCACGTCTGACGCTGATGGCATCACATTGTTCTGTGTCTGGATCCTGTTAACAGACTCAAACTGTACCCCAAAGGATGGTACTTTTATGGTGGGGACCATTAGAGAGTAGGAAGATATCAATAAACTAATTTCCCTTTGTGGCATCGTCTCATCTCCAGTAATAAATCCAGGGTGAAGCTTTCCCAGGAGGAAGCAGATTTTGAAAGGGCCAGTATCAATAACTGGAATCAGATTTTCTGAAGGGCTCAAATCCTATTTGGAACAACTAAATGAAGGCCAGGCTTTTAAAAGTGCTCACTTTATTAAAGGAAATTTTTGGCCTCCTGGTTCCTTTGGAAGATGCAGCTCTGCCTTGTGCTTTCCAGAAGGCCACTCAGCTGCTTTGACAAGCTCCACGTGTGTTTGTATCTCTAAAAATTCTGATTCTAGTGTTGTAAGCTGCATCATCATCATCATCTAGCCAGGCTTTCCTCTGAGTTTTGCATTTATTTTGTAATTTTCTGTAAAAATGACAAAAATAAATATGGGAGGTCGGTTTTCCTTTATTCGTTGCACAGGGAGATTTTTCGTTGCCTGGGAAGACAGAAAGATGCTGCCAGCATTTTGGCAAGAGAACCAACTAAAACTGCAATCGTTCCAGCATTGCCAGGACTGATATCAGTGACATTCTCATCAATTTAAGTTTGAAAAGAGAAAATGTCCAGATGTTTTGGAGAGAACAGCTCGTGAGCACTTTGCTGAGTGCAAAATATTTATGATACGAGTTGAAAATGCACAGAGAGCACAAAGTTTGCTGCACATTTTCTTGATTTTTTTTTTTTAATTATTATTATTTCTAGGGGAAAAACCCTGATTTGTCTCCGTCGTGTCCTGTAATGAAGTGGTCAGTAATGAGAAGTCATTGTTTTTCCATGGGCATCAGCCTGTAGTCCAGTTGAATAATATTAGTCCACTGTACAAGTTGGCTTAACCACTGCTCCAAACCTTTTTAAATCGAGCTGCCCAGATCTTGTCTCACGGGCATGACACATCTGGAGGAAAATCCACTGGCACTTGCATTTGGAATGCCCTGGGTTGTTTTTCTTTTTTCTTAGCAGCATCATAGAGGAGATATTTGATTTTTAGAATTACGTTTTCTGGAAGAAAATTAATTTAAATGTCATCATGTTGAACTCTGTAAATAATCTGTAAATAAGAAATCATTTCATTTACATCCAAACAGGAATTTTGGGCTATTGAGGTCATCATATCTTGTGAACCCGAATGGCAGCATGAGACTGACTTAGCACAACCTAAGGAGATGTTCCCTTGTTATGATATCTATTAGTCTGCTAATCTTTTCAGTCTTTAATCCACAATACTGTATTAAAAGACCAAAAATAGTCTCCACTGTCGTTAAAGGACAGTTTCTTCCTTTTTTTTTTTTAAATGAAAATTCCAGTGGGGAGTTGAATGAGTGTTCAGTCTGACAAACAGAATCCTTCCTCTTGTTCCATCTCTGTGGCACAGAGGTTTTTCACACTTCATTTTTCAGTTAACTGTCACTGTGGGGTTTTGAAATTTTGTTGTGTTTTTTTTTTAAATTAATGTCAGCTCGTTTTGTGCGTCAGTGTTGTCGCTTTTCGGTTCTCCTAAATTAAACAAACATTTTAAAGCTGTGTTTGTCCAGCCAAACTCTTGTCATTTCAATTATTAGCGTTTCCAGAAGTGTAAACACTTGTGCAGAGCACAGAAGGACCTGGCATAATTGGAGATCTTACCATTGGAAATGACATTCTGCTTTCCCTGCGTCAACATGTCACAGTGCAAAGGTGGCACAGGAGAAGAAGTGAATATCCTGGGTATTCCAGCTGCTATGTTTTGTTTTTCTCTCACATTTATTCTCCAGAATAAACAAAATGCAACGTGAACGTTACTATTTCTCTTGTCTGTGATAAACGATTTCCAGCTGTCAGAAACAATGATTTGAAGTATGATATGAATAATTATTTGCACCTCTCGTCTCCACGAGGCAAAATCCCACTCTGGCAAAATAATCATCCTTTTCAATTGAAGGTTTGTGGGAATATGGTAGGTAAAATATCCCACACCTTTCTGTTCACATTGAAATTAGTGGGAAATTTCGCCCTCCCTGGAGGTGTCCAAGGAATGACTGGACGTGGCACTCAGTGCTCTGGGCTGGGTGACAAGGGGGGGATTGGGCACAGAGTGGACTCGATGGGCTGAAGGGGCTTTTCCAACCTGAATGATTCTGTGATTCAGTGATAACCACCATGAAGAAACTGTGTCATCCTGCTCTGTCAGCAGCTCTCTGATGCTTCACATCCTGATATTCTGAAGCTGATGTTTTCCAGCAGTATAAAGTCATTTACTCTTTGTAGCAGTTTAGTAGCAGAAAAGCACAAGAGAGGGTCAGGAAAAGGTTTCAGGACAGTGTAGAGGCTCTGCTCTTCTAACCTGTATTTGATGGACATATTCTACTCTCTGAGGCATCACCTACAGAGGGTCTTGACCTGCAAACTTAACCCCTGCAGTACAGCTCACATTTGAATGCAGAACACTGGAAAAAAGTAATTTTTTGAGGGCAACTTCTTGTCAGCTGGCAGTGGTACAGCAAATATTTTTCTCTTTCCTTAAAGAAGAAAAGGAAGGCCATAGAAAAGGTAATGGGAGTGGTTCAGGCGGGGTCCTTCAAGCCCACCCAGAGGGATTTATCTCTGAGAGCAACCACAAGCACACATGTGAGGAGAAGTGAGAAAAGCAAGCATGATGATGCTTCCTACAAAGAATCTCTCACATTCTGAGTAGTTTCCATTTAGGGAATTTTCTGAGCCAGCTGTGTTTGGCCTGAGACATCCTACATCTGTCTCTCCCAGGCCACCTCACTGCCCCGAGCCCGTGCTCGTGTCCTGCCCCAGTGCTGGTCCCTCGTGTTTGGTTCTTCTGGACAAGGAATTCCAGGGGTCAGCTGTCCCTGGCAAAACCCACCTCTGTTTCTTCCAGACCTGGGTGCCATGTTTCTCTAAATAAATCACAGAGGCTCTCTTGTTTAGCTGGTACAAGAGCAGTTTGTTTTTTCCACATGGTTTGAGCGCTTTGTTTGTATTTCAAAGTCTCTCCCTTTCTGCCTTTTCTTCTGTGTACAATTGAAGACTGAAAATTTGCCTACACAAGAGAATTGTTCTGGTGCACTCAAAAGAATGTGAATTACTTTTTGGAAGAGATATTCAAAATTTTCCTGAGTGATTGCTGGTGGGAAGGACAAAATCTGCAAAACAACAATGACAGCAAATACTCCAGCTGAGGCAGAGATTTTTGTTTGTACAATCTGGAAAGCAATAAAACCCAGGAAACATCCCAAAGGACCCCCATCACTTTTTGGTGTGTAACAGCATCAGGCTCTGATTCAGCTCTATAACTAGGAGATATTTTACCATGCTGCTCATACTCCTGAGAGATGAGAAAAGAAACACTGGGCTGTCACTCAGTATTCTGATGAGAACACATACAAAAAAACTGTTTTACACTCAATGTTCTGTACATCATCAGCCATTTATTTCCAAGTCTTTGGAGAGCTGCTGTGAGGGTAATGTGCAGGCAGCTCCAAGCTATCTGCATGAGGAATGGGTTTTGCACGACTTTCAAGGAAATTCAGGTTGAAATAATGGCATCATTTACAGGTCACAAAGAGAAGGAGGATTTTCCTGATCAGGACATGTCAATGAACTGCAATTTCATCCCTGAGAAATGGTTAATTATTATGATGGGCCATTTTTTTCCCCAGAATTTTTTCAGAAATATTTTTTCTGTGACATTTCATCTCTCTTAGGATTTTTTTTTTCGTACTTAGTGTTCTTTTTGCCTGTGTTTTAATCCATGTATTCAGACTTTCCCATTAGTAATGGCAAATGTAAACAAGTTCTCAGATGGAATAATTTGATAATAAAACCTGTCTAATGACTCAGTACTTGTCAACCTGGACTCTGAGTAACTTTGAGGGGAAAAGGGCAGAGAGGACAATCAGTGTAACTACAGAGGCACAGGTACAGCTGTGCAAATAGAAAAAGACACAGAAAGATGCAGAAACGAGTGTTGATAGAAAGAGACAAAATATTTCTACTTCCTTCTCATGACTGGGATAACAGACAGACAAATACTCACAGAAATATATCTATTTATGTTACCACATTCTTACCTTTTTCTGTTTTTTGGGAAGGGTGTATTGGTGCCAAAGTGTCCAGGCAAGAGCAATAAACAGTTTTGTCGAAGAATGTACAGTAGAATATGGAAAAACCACAGGAAGTAGTGAGCATGATCTCAAAATTAATTGTTATTGGTCAAAACAAGACAAATTTGTGAATGGGAGCCTCGACACTAAACTCAACTGGTGATTTCAGACAAAGAGAAAAACAAAATTTATATTCCACAGAAAAAGGAAGTTAGGAAAACCTGGCTTCTTAAGTTATACTGCGAATTAGTGGAAATGGATAACAGATTTTGACTTAACTACAGCAAGGGACTATCCCCAGTAGTTGCTTGTAGAGATGTCTCATGAGCTGACTGTGGAAATTCCTTTGGAAGATGAGACTGGGTGAAGCAAAGCATTTTTTAGACAGCAATTTTGCAATGATCAAGTCATCCCTCCCAGAAGGGCTCTAGAAAATAGGTACTTGTTCTCATAACTCTCCAGAAAGGGAAGTGGTTGTGATTTGCTTTGAAGTGCGAGGAGAAATTAGTTTGTGAACTCCCTTAAAGGCCTCCAGCAGGAAGTGATTCCGGTTTGTTGGATACTCCTCACGAGCAGGAAATAATAAAATAGTCCCAATTGCCGAAGCAGTTGATGAAGGTGTTCTCCTTGGCTCGGTTTTTGAGTGGATCTGACGCAGTGCAGAGCCTGTAAATAGGAACAGAATGATCCAGACACTTCTCCCTTAGGAAGGAGACACTTTTTTTATTGCCTTTTGATGAAAAAATGATGCAGGCAGTATCATGCTGATCTGGCAGATGAGTAAAAAGCGAAGGCATTTCACGAGAAACCTCCTTCAAAATGAATCCAGATGCTTGTACTTACAGGCCTGGGATGGTATTGATGAAAATATAGAGAGTACTTGAGAAGTTATGCTTGTTACAGCAATAATCAAATTCTTTAAAGAAAAGCTCATAAACCGTCCAATGGGCACCTTCATCAGGGACAAGCTCTCTAGGATATCATCCAAATAGTCACACAGGAGGAAATTCAATATGAGAAGCCCCCATAAATGGCACTTTGGAGTCAGGAGTTCTGAAGCTGCTTGCTGGGAGATTGGAGAAGCTGGTGCTCTGATTTAATAACCACATATATGCCTGAACACAAGCAGCAAAAAAATGCTGACTACTCGTCCAGATGGTCTGAATCAGAACCAAATTGCAAACACTACCCTCAGCAGAAGAGCAAGTCATGGGCTGCTGGGGGGAATGTGCACACGCAGGAAGAGGGGGCAGATGTCTTTCCTCCAGTTCTTTGCAGAGGAAGGATGAGTTCCTGTATCACCCACAGGACCTGAATGCAGAGCAGGAAAAATGAGTGTCCAGGCAATTAAAGGCCTCCCAGCAAGAGGATGATGGTGTTACAACAGCGTATCCCAACAGTGTCTGTGGCTGGAACATGCTATCTCCTCATGGTATCGCTCTAAGGGCCTCCTGGATCCTGGTCATGGTGACAAATCTTACCATTTGAAGGTAAATATATATATATGTATATATATATATATATATATAATGTAAGTGGTGTTTATTCAAAATACAGCAGTAAGAGGAGTTGTACATTTTATGCAGTAAGGGAAGGCTGTGTCGTGAGGGTTTACCTGGCTGGCTGGGGATGGCTCTGCACACAGAATAGATTTTTCTTTGCCTGATGTATATAATCACAATGTACAAATAATTGCTGGGTTTGAGATGAAATAGTTCTCTGCAGAGAGATCCTAATGTGATCATGTAGTGTCATGACTGGTGTCATTTGGCTCTTCCCTGGGGCCTGACATGAGCAAAGAGCCTGGGGCACCCGCCAGTGTTTCAGTGAATCAGTCTGGTCCAGAGTCACTCACAGCAAGCAACTGGAATCCAAAATGATTCAGCAGCTTTGTGAGACTTTAAGGAGCAGTGAAATGCCCAGATTGCTCCAAACCTGATGTAATCCAAGTCGTGTCCAGTTCACTCTCTCCGTTGGTGGTAGCTCTGTTTGTGACACAGCACGAAAGGAACAGAAATAAACACGTTCCGTATTTCTTGATAGAACACTTAACGAGAGTACAGAATGTTTCTTGGTGCTACTCATGCTTTGGCATAAGTTGATTAAGGCAAGAAAAATCTATTCCTGAAGAAGAAGAAGAAGGGGTTTGAAACATGTGCAGAATAGGTGGAAACCAAATTAAAAATCTTTATGTTTTATTGAATTTCAGATCAAATTTGGGAGTAGTTGCTTGCAAAATAAAATCCATGAAGCAAGGGCATATGGAAACAGTTTCTAGGGCATCTGGTGTGATTCTCTAAGTTTAGAAAAAAGTCAGGCTATCCCTCTCATTAGTTATTTAGTGAAAGGCCCCAGGCATTCCAGTTCTACCAGGCTGCACCCAGAAACCAGGGTTTTTAAATTAAGAGTAAGATAGCATGTAACAAGTTCTTTCTGTTCTGTGGTAAATGTCCATGGGCACTTTCCCCATCAGCAAGTAAGACTTAATTTGAGTTAATTAGCTGGCTTTCATTCTTGTGAAATAAAATATGTTACACATGCTTACACAGACAGACTTATAAGTATGTAAGATATAATGGGGTAGAACTTTTAATATGCATCTATGTGCATTTTCATATGTGAAAGTTTGTAGCCACGGGAATAGCATTTATTAAAAACAATATGATTAGTACTTGGTTTCTTTATTTAACATATATATTGTGGTTTTATGTTAACGCAGTCATGATTTATGTGGTGTCTTTCTGAATGTATGGAGATACAGTATGAATTGCTATATGAGAGCATGGATGTATGGCATGGGCAGATGTTTCTGTGTCCAGGGACTTGTGAACATCTTGTGTGTAATGTGAGTAAATGAAGAAGAACAGGTCTATTATTTAATAGTATTATTTAATGCTATTGTTGATGCACTGTAGAAAACCATGGTAAAAGTCTGTTGTGTGCGTGTTGGATGCTCTGATTAGTGAAACAGACTTGGTGTGTGTTTTCTAGCTTTTTGTTGAGGATATTTGTATTGAAATACAAAATATGGAAGGATGTTTATATTGATCTATAAAGATACATGGCACAGTGCAGTGGGGCAAGACATCCTGTGGGTCCTGTGTGGTGCACAGCTGCTTGGGGTGGCCTCTGAGAGCATTCACATCTGCTCTGGGGTTTGTGAGTTGCAGGAAGGGGAAAGGAGTGTGGAGGAAAGTGTGTGGCTGCATCTTTGTTTTGTTGTGGTGGAGGAACGACGAGTCTCGGGGTAGGTGCAGGAAGCGCGTGTGGCAAAGTCGGCAGAGAGCAGCTGGGTGCAGGTTATCCACGCTCTGTCACGCTGATGGTGGTGCCCATGGCATGGTGTAGCAGCTGTGCTGAGTACGGGTGAAGGGAGGCAGCGATGGAGGGTCACTGTCCCGGGGGTGCCAGGGCATGGCAGGGAGGGAAGGTGTGGGTTTCCATGGCTGATACTGAGGAAACGCTGTGTGTGATCTGCCTTGTGCGTGAAGGGAGGCAGATGCTTCGTGTGAGGGAGAGAGAAGGGGCTGACTGCCTTCTGTGTGTGCATAGAGGGAGCTGAGGGGGTGTGAGAGGAGCTGATCTGTGTGCTGGGGTGTGAGAGGAACCTCTGTGTGTGTGTGTGTT